GAAAGGTAAAACATCACAGCATGACTATTACTATACAATGTGCTCTGAAATACAACATAGCTTGCTGTGGTAGTCTGAGGGCTTTGTCCTCTGTTGCTCTAGATAACTCATCCAATCAGGTGTTTAACTACCAGCCATGTGATCACCCCGACCATCCATGCGACAGCTCCTGCCCATGTGTGATGACCCAGAATTTCTGTGAGAAGTTCTGCCAGTGCCAGCAGGAGTGTGAGTGTCACCTTTCTTATTCACCTGTGAGACCATGCTCTATGCTTCTGTCTTTGTTACACAAACAAACACATAATAAGCTTGCTCCTTCCTCGTGATGTTAAAAGAAAATAGTTTGTCACATTTTTCCACTGAAAGCTCTCAGTAGCTTTAAAGCCCTTTTGCCAGGCCACAATAGAGCAGGAAAGGAGAATGTAAAATGATTCTGCAGTATTCTGGCAGTGGTCAGACGAGAAACTGTCCTCTGGCACGGATAGGTGGGTGTCTGTTTAATACAGAACTGCGTTCACAATGAGCCATTTGCTGCAGCAGCAGTGACCCAGAACTGAGTTTTCCGAAATGGCCACATGGTGGAGGAATGCATTTTGGATAGAGGATAAGACGAAGTAAACATTTTGCTATGTTTTGGAAAAGATAGTTTTGCCTCATTTGTTCATCTGTTGTGGTTCAGTCACCTCCCCCCACCCCCACCTTATCCGACTGTTACCTCGCCTTTTCCCGTAGCAGAGGAGAACCATGGCCAAACAGGAAGCAGCCCTCGGTTGCACATGTGTGTGCTCTAAAGACTTGGAGAGAAATCAAAGGGATGTGACAGGCTCTGAGCCTGATATACATGCATCATCTGCAACATCAGTATGAGTCAGACAGCTCCAGCTAAACAATGCTTGATGATACAGACAAAAAAAAACACACACACACAGGCTGCGAGTGGGAGGTTAAAATGGCGCATACACAGACAAATACTGCCTGGAGCTCTTGTTATGGACAGTTTTCCCAAAGCAGAGTCTGCTGGAAAGACATTTTGGTTATTTTTGCCTGATCCTTCCGTTCATCTGCCCGCAGGGTGTTGTATTACACTGTGCAAAAGTGCATTTCAGCATATCTGCCAGCAGAGGTCGCTGACTGTTGGGCTTCTTAGCATTAATCAGCCATTGAGCTTCTGTGCTGCAACTGCAATTTTGAGATGGAATTATTTATCATAATCATATTGTGTTCTGCCAAGTCATAATGTATCATCTCTCTGTATTGCCGCATGCAGTTAGCTCATAAACGTTCTCAGCACGTCCCCTTTCAGAATAGCTTTCTGTCAAAATGTTTTCCAGGCCCAAACCGCTTCCCAGGCTGCAGATGTAAGACACAGTGCAACACTAAACAGTGTCCCTGCTACCTGGCTGTGAGAGAGTGTGACCCAGATCTTTGCATGACCTGTGGCACTGCAGACCACTGGGACAGCAAAGGGGTCTCCTGCAAGAACTGCAGCATCCAAAGAGGCCTAAAAAAGGTACACGAGGATACTTGAAGGTCTGAAAGGTTGAATGTTTCAAATGTGTAAATCTGTTCATCTGGAGTGTTCAGTGTTCAGATCACACATACGTTGTGTCCTAACCTGCATCTGACTTCTCTCAGCACCTGCTTTTGGCTCCATCAGATGTCGCCGGATGGGGCACCTTCATCAAAGAGTCAGTTCAGAAGAATGAGTTCATTTCTGAATATTGCGGAGAGGCAAGTCCATGCACTGTAGTCAGATTGAGGGCACCTTATTTCGCTCCCAGTTTGATAAAAGTTTTGTAGTTAGTACCTTAGTATTTATTATTACTGTGTGTGTGTGCTTGAGCAGCTGATCTCCCAAGATGAGGCAGACCGACGTGGAAGGATCTATGACAAATACATGTCTAGCTTCCTTTTCAACTTAAACAATGGCAAGTATCCCCACTCCTCCTCTGGTCATAACCATACCATGGTTTTATTGAATATTCCTTAATGTACTCTATGTCTCTCAATAGACTTTGTTGTGGATGCCACGCGAAAGGGAAACAAAATCCGCTTTGCAAATCATTCAGTTAATCCCAACTGCTACGCAAAAGGTATGACTAAGTCACTTTGTTTTGCTGTCAAGTCAAATGTTAATGGATAGGATTTTTGTGGGATGAAAGCAGTGTTTTGTTGGCTGATATTGTGTTTGCTGCCATTGCAGTGGTAATGGTGAATGGAGACCACCGGATTGGAATCTTTGCCAAACGAGCTATCTTGAAAGGAGAGGAGCTCTTCTTTGACTACAGGTAGACTCACGGGCCACAAGCTTCAAAGTAAAATAGCAAAAAAGGTTGCTGTGTATTGTGACTGAATCACTGGTTTCTGCAGATACTGTATACTAACTCATATTCTTTATGTCATTTTACTCTCGTAGATACAGCCAAGCCGATGCCCTCAAATATGTGGGGATAGAGAGGGAGGTAGACTGTACTTAGCTGCTCCTGCTGCCTACCTCCATAACCTGTCCCTAACTCCTCAGCCACCCACTAATGCTTCTGCCCCTCCCTGCAGCGTCACATCTAGCTGACTTGTTTGTATGAACAGTCGCTGCCTCTGCCGTCTCTGCTGCACTTCCCAAAATAGAAAGTCCCTCCCTACTGTTTGCTGGTGCTCCTGCTCTGCAGACACCATACCACATCCCTCATTGACAGCCATCAGCTCTCCCCTCATCTGTCCAAATCCAACCACCCACCTGCAAGACTGTATACCCCAAGCTTATTAAACTAAACTAATTAAAGAGAAAATACTATTAATCCGTACCGCTTACTGTACCAAGAGGATCACATGGTTGTTTTTTTCTTCCATTTTGTCAAAGCAAAGGGGCCGTGATTACCCATCATACTGTGTGTTACTCTCTCAGCAGTTATGTTACTGTACTTATAGACTGGCTTTTGTTTGACCTCTCAATACGTATTGCAAGTTATTACATTGTACCTAATGATGATCAGTGAAATGCATGTGCTGTCTCTTAGATAAACAAACCATTAAACATGTTAGACACAGCATTCGCTTCAGTCAAATGCTGCTCTGTGCATTCACTTAGTATTGTAGTGTGATGTTACCCAGAAGAACTTCTGAAGAACAGGCAGGTTTAACAGCTTACAGGTATGACAGGTATGTTCTATAAACCTTTTCAGCAGCTAGCACCACCACTACATCTTTATGGTGAAATAAGTTATTGTGCATTTATATGTTCTGCAAAAATAGGCAACGAGACAAGAATCCGACTGAGTGAATGTAACCTGTAGATGATGGTGAAGAGATCTCATCCCTCTTTTCATTTTACACATTAGCCCATTCTATTGGTACTCTGAACATGCACATCAAACATTTGTCGTCACGTTTACATGGTCTTGAGGCCTTCACACTTTGTGAGGGAAATCATTCAATAAATTAACTAGTCACACAGTAAATGTCTTCCTTCATATAAACATATAAGTGCCAAATGATTCCACACTGAAAAAGGCTGAAACAAGGTGGATGTGTTGCATAATTATCAGAGGTGTGTTAAAGGTAGCCTTTGCAAGGTTATGCCCATGGGAAAAGCAAAATCATCAGTGTGTGACCAAATATTAAATGTCCCCCACATGTGAATGTAAAATATCATTTATCATCTTTTGTTTAAATGTCCAGATTTGTTATTCACTCTGTTTTTCATTTATAAATCATTAAAGCCCACTTTGAAATGAGATCTTTCTCAATAGAGGTGAACAAAATGGAGTTAACTGATATGTACAGTGTATGCCTATAAAAATAAAAGTTTAACTTTATACATTAAAACAAGCTGTTCTAGTCCTTGAGTGTGTTAACTGTCACAGTGCAAAAACCATCTGATGTAATAAGCAAATGTAATAATGGAACATCTTATTTTATCTCACCTAAAATAACACACTAACAATTTCATTCAAGCTTCTTTTATTGAATTGACAGTTTGCTTTGATTTACACAGTAATGGTCATTTACAGTGAAAGTATTACAAAACAAAATCGAGTGTACTGACAAACAGAAAAACATCTAAATTTCAGTGTGATCACAAACACAACTGTAATTATTATTTCTGGTACTTGTTGCGGAAGTATTCCATTTGATGGTGCAGATAAGTGTAACCTGGTCTAACCTGCCTACTCCTTATTCTGGTACTTTATCATCTGGTGTCATACAGACATCACTGTTGACAGGGTGTCAGGGTCATGTATGTACGAAAAAGTCTTTAAATCTCTATAATAACTGTTCAACTCAGAACAGAATGATATGCAAAGCATTACCCCAATTTACCTTCATGTCCTTTTAAATATGTTTTCTTGTTTTTTAGTTGAATTCTGGTGTCAATCTTTAGTTTTACTCCAGAAAGCAGAAGATGCCCTGTCTGAGCTAACAACATCCTGCTGACCTGCTCCCTCTACTGGCCATTTTTAATGAATCCCTTTTATTCACATACTTGCCTCCGTTTTTTGGATGCAGGACACTTAAGGATAAGTTCAGCACATATTCTATATGCCTGTAATGTTCCTTACAGACACCTGATACCTGGACATTTAGGAGCCACTCTGAGCTACATCCAAACCTTGTTTCTGTCTCACTGTACAACTGTTGGTGCACTACAATAAGTGAATTAGATACAGTAGTTGGCATTAGTGCACATGTTTGTTTTTTAATGAGAGTCATTAACATCAGTAGGATGTATCTTGGTGGGCAAACTATGAACACACAAACATCTAAACATCCAGTCAGTCGCACACACACACACGCTCCAGGGACCACACATGATTCACTAGTGAGTGGCAATGAAGTGAGACTGCTATGCCGAATGTTTACAGTCAATTTACCAATGAACAGTGAGGTGTATACATTTATATATTACATAAGTCGACTCTTTCCTAATAGGCAACAAAGCATATTTGACCCAAGTTTGTTGTCTTGCGCCTGATATGAACTTTGAGTGGTGATTGTCCATTTAACCAGTACACAAACTATTCTTTGCATCAATCACAAACCAACAGTTTCACTCTGTTTTCTCATTTTTCATCATCATTCATCTTATTACAGCATTCTTAAAAATAAAGCCTGTATAAGCCACTTTTGGCCGAATCTGTACATTTTCATATATTATTTCCATGTCGTGCCTTTACAGTAATTGCAGTTTTTACATCTACTGTACATTCTTTCACTCTACAATTTCGCACAGTTCTGCCCATCTGTAATGGAAGAAACCAACAATGTTGAGTTTTGGAGGTGTATTAGTGCTACAGAGAACAAGTACTGTACTTTCTTTTTCCTGAGCATTCTAAAAAACTACCACACATAATTTTACTTTCAGTGCTAAGCAACCTACAATGAAAACATCACAGCAGGTCTTCACTGTAGTATCTATACATTACAGAGTCAGATGATTTACATTCAGAGTACTCCTTTTAACTGTTGTAACTTGTTTTATATAAACCATAGGAATAAAAAAGTCGCTTAACATATTATTCATATATTCACGTATACACTCATTAGATCCTACTTGCTATTGTGCATTTGCAAATTAAGCTGAGACATTAACATCACTGATGGCTGAAAGAAACTCAAGTTATTGCCTGTTTTTGCAAAGTGCGGTCATGCTCTACAAATGCATAGCTGATATGTTATTAAATATATCACTTTTTTACACTTTTTTTCACAATAATGCAAGAGTGCTTTAGCATCAAGGAGAGCTGCAGTAAGTGATGAAAGCCCTAAGCTTTGGTTGCACCACACATCAAACGAAATTTCATCTTGCCAGAGAAAGAAATTTCATTGGACTACATGTAGACTTTTCAACTTTCCACTGAAAGCAACTAAACAAGCAGCAGCAGCAGCGATGACAGCGTGGCTGGCTACTGTCCTACAGCATTATGCAAAAATATTCGAGCAGTATAAGTTAGAAGTAAAAGCTTGTCATTTACACTCATGTGGTCCTCTGTATATATTATTGTGTGTGTGTGTGTGTACATGTGTGTTAATATTTATGTTTCTCCACATGGCCATTTGGAGCAGCTGTTTCCTGAAAGATGCTTACTATTGGGGATGAAAGGGTTATGAGAAGACTTTTTCTTTTGTAATACTGTCGTTAGAGATGTCTGCTGAGTTAAACACTCTGTAGCACCGAGCTAGTGGCAGCTTGACCATAATATAAGTAACCAGAAGAAAGACAGTCCCTGGCGAGTTCAAGATCAACTTTTGTTTTGATCCTGCAGTACACCAACAGCCTGTTAGCTCTCACACCTGGAGGTACAGTATCTTCATATCACCACACTCTCATTTCCATGTGTTAGGAATCTGGCATAAAGTGATTTGGCAAAGCTGCTATCTACTGACACTATAGTAATTCTGAACCACTTACATGTGCCATTCTGTATAGGTAATGCACTGTTAGAGGCTGCAATACAACAAATATAAGCGAATATACCTTTTACAATCCATATCATCAACTCAAAGCTTTATGCTTGTCAGTATGTCCTCTCTTCGGTTGGTTGTTTTTATTCGTGAACACCAGTTTTGTATCATTGATCAGGATTTTTGCTGCACTGGTTAAGTTCACTAGTTCTCAGATGTGCTTACTGATCAAACCCAAGACGGATTATCAGCTATGATGTAAAAATGAGCTCCATGAGAGATTGTCATCATAAGGTATATTTTAGATGGCAATAAATCTATACAGTAAGATATTGTTAGCTTTAATCACTCTCAACAGTGGCTCAGGAAAAAACTCAATCAATAAAAGCCTGAATATGTTAAAGTGATGTTCCAAATGTAATTAAATATCCCTTAAAATCCTGTTCCCGCAGTGTCTAATCTAAACCCTGTCTGAATAAGCCATTATGATTACTTCAGATCAAGCTTGCTCAGATGAGGCACTTCAGTATTTCACCCTGCAATACAGTGTGAGACTTGTTGGCTACTCACGCAACATGGGGCTTGATGAGAACTTTTAACCCTTACCAAAATACACACTATTTAGAGCACCAGGCATCAGATCCAAACCTCAACCGGGGAAAGGAACAAAAAACAAACTATAAAAAAAGAAGAAAAGAATTTGAAAATGTAATACAGGTATCTGTGGTTGTTGTAAGTGCTATTTCCCTCTCCCTAACCCCCAGTCAAACCCCACCCATTGTTCCAAAGGTCCTGTGATGCTAGTCGCTCCTGAACTCCTCTTCAATTTGTGGGAGGTTCTTTTTTTCTCGCCTCAGGGTCTCCGTCAGCGGCCTGGAACTGCTGGGGGACTCCAGGTTCTTAGGTTCATTGGTGCGGTAGCTGCCCTTCTGCTGATACGCATAGACATAGATGCTGTACAGCCCTCCAAAGAGCAGCAGCAACGCCAGGATGACAATGACTAAAGGATAAAAATAGCACAGTCAGAGTTAATCGGCAATACAATGAGGAATGAGGTGCCTACTGATTAGGATCAGGCGCTGTTAGACTGGATTTTTAATGCTATTTTATTACATCACAAATCACCAAACTTGCTGTGGGAGAATTTAGGTCTGATATTATCTATAATGACAACAAGATAATTGAGAGAGATAGTTTTTTTTATAAATGACATTGACACAGACTGGCCAGTACTATGTAGTAAGTATTTTTCTTTGTTTGTCTGTTTATGAAGGGCACATTTTGTTGGTGGTTATTTTTATTTGTCAGCCATACAATTTTTGTTGAAGTTGTTTGTGTATTGCGCCTTTTCATAGAAATGCAGTTCAAAGTACTTTACAGGAGAAAAGGAGCCAAGCCATATATATATCATTGAGACATAAAGAAAATAAAAAGCAGAGGCATTTAAACAACAGAAAATACATAATGCATAACAATATTATTGAAAAAAATATTTTAAAAGATAGAAAACTATTTAATGAGATGCTTAAAGTAAATAAAATGAGGTTGTTCATATTACATCTACTGTACATTCATTTCACTCTACACTCTATATATATGTATATATATATATATATATATATATAAGTGGGTGCAATTCTCAGAATACCACATTAGCTATTCCATATGTTTGGTTTATAAATACTGAATGCAATCTCACCAGACTTAGAGTATGCTCTTTGGATATGAAGGACCCTGGTGCATTGTGACCAGAGAGGTCTGCTGTGTTTATACATTGAGAGCATAATCTGATATACTGTGGCCAGGCACTACACACCAGTGGATGTTTCTGAAGACTGGGGTGACTTAGTCCTGGTTTAGCATGCATGTGGCTTTTTGAATTAGCTGCAGTCAACAAGAGGTTTCGGTTAGTTCTAAACTGCAGTAATCCAGCTTGGTCATGACATTAATTGCATAAAGCTCTTTGTTACCTGTATTGAAAGTGCTCTATAAAATAAAGCTATTATTATTGTAAGTAGCCTGTCTTGGCACCTACAACCAAAATTATTGTTTAGTAGTTCAAGTTAAAGTCTCAGACCTCAGCCCATGTCCTTTCAGCATGTCCATGTCTGAGTGTAGTTTTAATATTCTCCCTGCAGTTGCTTGGGTTTCCTGTCACAGTCCAAAGACATGTAGGTCAGATGAACGGAGACATTAAATTGCCTGTAGGTGTGTGTTTGTTTGTCAGTCAATGTGTTCACTGTGTAATGGACTGGTAAAATGTCAGCAGTGTTTCCCAGGCTTTCTGCCAATGCATGCTGGGAAAGGCCTCAGCTACTCAGGTTCATACCCTCAATAAATGGGTATAGATATATGGATATACTGCAACACAGAGCTTAGAGCAGGCGAAAATGTAGCTGGTAACAATTGAACAAACCATGCAAAACCTTCCACGTCTCTCTGCTGTGCACTCTGCTTACCACCGCCCACCAAACCCACAAGAAGGAGCCGGTTGCCCTGCAATACCTCAGTCCATGCAGGGCTTGCTCTACACTGCAAGAGCCTCACCAAACACCCCTCCAACGCTTCACAGCCCCAGTGCAGCAGAGGCTAGTACACCACTGTTCCCCCTCAAAAGTTATTCCCTACTGTTTGTAGTCATGCCTCTTTGCCGCTCATTGATACAAGCTCCATGGCATTGAATATAATGATCTAGAAGCTCGGTGTGGAGCCGGGACGTGATCACACAATTGTTTTGTACTATATAGGGTTTCATTGTTGGTCAGCCATTGTGTTGGCAAAACTTCTGAAGTCACGAGCTGAAGATATTGAGCTTGACTTGAGTAAGAGCATGTGCGGGGAGAGGGGCTGCGCAGCGTGTGCATGAGCTGTGATTGACACTGCGGTTGAGACTGCTCCTGGCTTTGATTCGTTGTTGTGACCCAGGAGCTGTGGATTCTAGCAAATTGCATTAGGAGCAGTAGGAACAAGAGGAACATAATCTTTTTCACAGATTCTGTCTCATGTCCTACTGTCAGGATATAGTGACAGTTTTAGTTAATATGACAAAAAGTTATTTTTAAAAGAATTCCCTACTGCAGGTCTAAAACGATTTTGTCACAGGACAAATGAAGGAATAACACATGTATTCAATATCTGTGTGCAATAATTTGTTCACCAGCCCAACTGACCATTTTGTATTATCAACTACATTTAAAACAATAGGTGTAATTTCTCAGTCAAAGCCACTTTACTCTGGGCCATATGTCAGACGGTGATGTGTCGGATAACCAGAGGGTCCATTGTTGGGATGCCTGAATGGCACAGCAATCTTTAATGGCACGCTAATGTCCTGCATTATCATAATACCTCTGAATCTGAATGATCTATTAAGCTGAAGCATCTATCAATGATGAGCAGTAAGCTGGGCCCATGCAGACTAAATATAGCTGATCCAGTAAAGGTCTCAGACAGGGATGGAGCAGAGTCTCTGTGCTGCAGTTTAATCCTGAAACTCCAGCCTCTCCTGCTCATCAGGGGGGACCAGCTCTCATTTTTCTCGTCATCTGTAATGCTGGGTTGTAAACCGATCATCTGGTCTCAACACTCAACATCTCCTCTTGTAAAAAGGTACAGAGTATCATGGGTATTAAACAGATGAAGGAATATATTAAAGGTTCATGTTTTTCTAGAAATCCATAAATACAAGAGAAACATAAACAATGTTTTCATCTATTCATGTCTGTGTTGACATAATGATATAACTACTCATTCATGTTATTTTTGATATTATCACACCATTGCTACTCCTTAGGTCAACATCTTTTTTTGTTGTTGCCTGTTGTATTTACATGATCGCTCTATTGTTATTGCAATATGATTTTAGGAATTGTTTTTATTGTATAAGGGAATAGAGGTTTATGGTCCTGTTAAAGTTATTGTAATCATTGTAGATTATTTCTGAATAAGTATTGTATACAAATGTATAAGAATAAGTATGTGACATTTATATTCTTTAATATTAATTTATATATCAAATATCTCAATATAACTTACATTCATTTTACTCACATTCTCAAGGAGATTAAAAAAATAATCTGACCTCAACTGAATGGAATCAAATATAATCTTCTTCAGTATGATAATAATGTATTAGATATGTCTGGCTGTTTATTTTTCTCTAAGTATGTTTTGTTTTCAGTTTTGTCCCCACATATAATAAATTTGAGTCTGCAGTCAGATACTTGGGAAAAAAACACTCAAAAGCCCACATTAGAAGCTGACAATCCTGTCTAATTTAGGATTAGAGGATTTTCAAATGGCTGACTTGTGTCATCTGGGACAGTAAGAAAATTGTGAGTAAAACAGAAACAAGGTAAACAAATGAACTGAATAAACTGCTAAATATCACAGTCCATGCCTTATTTTTGACAGAAACAAGTCGGATATGCAGTATTTCTGTATACATGGCAATGTCTCACTTTAAAAGAATAGGAAAAATGGGTCTTACCCGTTATCCAAAACAGGCCTAGGTCATCATGGATATAAAAATACTCTGAAAGGGAAACAAATAAGTTGATGAACACAAAATAATATTCTCTTTTTTCACTGATTAATTATGGGACATATAAACTCACCTATGCCAGTAAACCAAGGGTCTACCTCCCATGGTACATAACCCAGGACAGGGGGGAAGGCCCCACAGTTGGACTCAGACACATAGCCTTGTGTCGTTACTGGAGGGTCTGTTTCATTTGGACGGAAGAAGGCCTTTAAAGGGGCATAGACATTGTATCTCACCCCAGATATGCAGCCTATGAAGCCTGGAGCATTATGCCTCTGGATCTCATAGTCAATATCACCAACCTCTGAAAGGGCAGACAGGAACAATAAAACATCAACAAATTTTCCACTTTAAATACTCAATGTATCACTGGCAGCAAGATTAATACATAGGCTACATGTTCTCATCAATAAGTGGTAAATAAATTATTGATATTTACCCATCACTCTCCCTAGGAACATTGACTTTGGAGAATCAAACCTGGCGTCCTCCACTAAGGTTATTTTTTCCACAATGGGCTCCATGTAATCCACCTGTGGGCAAGGCAAAACAAGTTAAACACCATATCTATATAATTCATGACAAGAAAGAAGGTAAATTACCACCATAAACAGAACTAACTGTGAGCAAAACACATCAGTAGAATGTATTCAACATATTTTCTATGTAGAAGCTATTAGTGTATTTAAAGAAATTATTTGCTTTCTTGCTGTGAATTAGATGAGACAATTTATACCACCCTCATGTCTGTATGGTAAATATATAGCTACAGCTATCAGCCAGTTAGCTTAGCTTAGTTTAGCATAAAGACTGGAAACTGGAAAGGGAAACAGCTAACCTGGCACTGGAAAAAGTTAACAAAATCCACAGATATAAGACTAGTAGTACATTACATTAATTTTATCCAAAGCGATTTCCAATTGCTATATTTGTCAGAGATTGCACGCCTCTGGAGCAACTATGGGTTAAGTGTCTTGCTCAAGGACACATTGGTGCAGTGGGAATTGAACCCCAGTCTCCCACACCTGTGTGTTATCCACTGCGTCATCAGCACCCCAATCCTGATATCAATTTTCTTATCTTACTCTCAGCAAATAAGCAACTAAGGGTATTATCAAAAATGTCAAACTATTCCTTTGAGATGTTAAAATTCATCACTGATTTATTGTAATTTCTAACAAAGAAGTAAAGAAACTGTTGGATAGGTTTGTTAGTTGGATATCCTTAAAATGGCGCACATCAGTCTATGTTTTTTATAGAGATCATACATTATTTCAAAATTATTTATTATTATTTGAAAATAACATAAACCACAGATCAGAGTTTACACAGAGACAGCAGTGAGAGCATGAACCTGTGTTTTGATTGTTCTGTTGTGTCTGGTTATGTTGACGTAGTGGGGGTATCCATCTGCCAGGTTTCGGTGAGTCAGCTGGTACTTGTGTGTTATGAGACCCAGTTTATACCTCAGATCTACACTACCTGTGGTGGGGGGGGGGGACAAAAGACATCAATAGCATAGAGTATATTGTTTTGACGAATAACTGCATTACATAAAATACTTGGGTAGTTTCCCTAAACTGTGAATAAAATGAACCTGCTGCCCTGCAAATGTAATTCTACTTAAAAAATTCCATCTTTCACATTCTCAGACAAAATGTTTCTGAGCTTCTCTTACCATCATTCTTAAGGATGATAGCAATATAGTCTTGGACAAAGGAGCTGATGTAGAGCAACACAGCTGGCGTGTGAACAGTGCTGAAACTGAACTCTATGTCATCTGCTGTGTCATTGTAACCAAGGCTGAAGTTGTCGTAATGTGGGTCGATCCAGTTGGCCCATGCTGCTTCATCTGAAATAGGCTTCTTTCGTATGTTGTATCTCAGCCACGAGCCAATCTCAAAGTAGGCTCCGATGTCTTAAAAAAGATTATTGTAGAATTAGATATCTGTTACAATGTATTGCTGCAGATGATGTAAGTTACTATGTGAAGGAGAAACACATATGAACTCACCTTTATGGCAGTAGAAACCATCAAAAGCTGTGTTGTTGCAGTCACAAGTGTAGGAAGCATAGCCCTCAATACACTGGCCACTGTTTCGGCATGGTATGGTAGCATTGAGGCACTGTCCAGTACAGTTCCTCCTTATACCCTGTTCTTCATTTACTTTCCCCTCTAGATCAAGAGGAACACCGTTCATCCGTAACCCTCGAAGACACCCCAAGAAAGGTCTCAGGGTGCGGTTGGCTGCACCTAATACACAGATGTTTTTTAATCAGTGGCTATTCACCTTCATCCAAAAGTTTAGAGGAGACACATTAAGTTATTTGTATTTCATGCCAGTTTTAAATTTCAAATTTCTAAGTTCACCTCGGCCAACCTACCTACTAGGATAGGATGTGTAAACTTCATGGTGACAAAGGTCTGACCTGGAAAGCGCGTAACAGCCCAAGGCTGATAATCAACCTTGATGCGGGCCAGTTTCACATTAATCTCAGCCTGAACAAAGTGCCACTCATTGTCATTGAGAGGCACAGGGGAGCGTAGTGTCACATTTATGATGCCATCACCAACCATAAATACAAACACGAGGTTATGGGTGGCTGGAAGAGGAAAGAAGACAATTAAAAAACGTACAGTAATTCTTAGATAAATCTTTCAGTTGTATGTGGAGAATAGCTCCCTGCTAGTCAACTCACTATTCAGCTCTATCCGTATGAAGTTTCGAAGTTGGTCATCAGAGTTCTCTAAGAAGACGCCGTGGTCACGATAGGTTTTGAAGTGGAAGGAGATGTCAGCGCTGGAGCCAGGCCTGAAGGTGGGGAAAGTTATGTAGGTGGGTTTGGTGAAGGCTATGGTGTTCCAGATGTTTCCTGTGGAAAACATTGAAATATGTATATTAAAAAACAACTCTGAACCCTTCGACAACTTCAAACTGAACTTTGCGGTGTGAGCATAATCCATAATACTTTAACTCACTGTCCCCATGGCAGCGGAGGGGCCCAACGGTGAACTGTGCTTCTGAGCCGGTCCTGTTGGTGTCCCCGACTACTACCTTTCTCACAGGCAGATGGTCTCTAAAGTCCAAGTAGCCCTTGTCGGAGTACCTAAAAAGCCACAGTGGGGATGTTCACCAACTTTCGACTTCATCATTATTACAACAGATACAAGCTAATCTTGATCAATGTATCTGTCCCTCACCATTGTCTATAGTCAGCATCACAGTTGCATTGAAACTTGGGATCAGTGCAGGTTTGGTTGATAGCGCAGCCACACTTCTGGACCTCTCTGAATGTTCCTCCCCAGTAATAGTGACTCTCATTGTTACGGCCAATCCAGTAACCAAAAGGTCTTCCATCTATTTTGAAAAACAAATGGTGTGTTAGTGTGTCATTGACGTTTCCTATCTTTCTTGATTTCCATGAGCATGCTACCAAATTAATAAACCAACTAATCCCACTTACTGGGGGTGTTGAGGAGACGGGACTTGTAGCAGGAGTAGTCAATCCACTGCTCACAGTACATTGAAGTGTTGGCTAGAGCAGTGACTTCATCCCAGGAGGCATTCCAGTAGTTGACATCTCCTATATAGGGCCGGTCTATTGAACTCCCACTCACCTTGGTACCATCCACACGGTCATGCATAATCACTGTCCAAGCTTTATATGCTGTCAAGAGGCATGACAGATATAGGTCATAGTAATTAAATGTTAAAATTAGAAAGATGGAGGCAACAAAAAGGTAACAAACTGAAAAGTTAGACACAGGGTATTTGGACCTACCTTGTTTTATCTTTTATTTCCCATGAAATTTCAGTGAACATTTCTCATTACAGGAACATAATAACCTGACTTTTCACCTTACAATAACAACCCACAGAGGACTCCGCAAATACTGCACACATTGCTGATGAAGCTGTATTTTGTTAGTGTCAGTGATTACTTACACTTCATTTTGCAGTACACTTCAAATGGTTTCAGCGGTCCACTGAGATCAGGATCGATGGTGTAGTTTCCAGACCAATACTTGCCGCTGAGTCTGTAGGCCTCGCATGACTCTTTATAAACCGCTGTTCAAGAAGCAAGATGATCAATTTGTTATTATTAGGAAGAAATATGGTATGGGCCAGGTGTAATTAACTGTAAAGAAACATTTATTACAGTGATAAGATTGCCAGCCAGCACTTACACATGTGACACACTTCTCCTTTATAACCTGTATTCTCACACAGACATATAAAGTCATCCCAGGACTGGATGCATCTGCCTTCATGTTCACATGGATTTGGAGTACATCTGTAAACCAAAAACATGCTTATACTGAGTTACAAACGTGAGACTTACATAAGTGTGCTATTCTTTCATTTCAATATTCTCCATATTCTCTGTGTTGTTTGTGTCTTGTTGAGAGCCTTTAAGTATGGTTTTATGAAAGGAAAATAACCATGAGATGATGAATGCTTTCAGCTGTAAAGAAGTGATGTCTCATTCTAAAAACTCACAACAATTCAGTGCCAAAAACTTCACATACATCTTGAATGAGATCACATTACTTTGACAACATAAAAGAGCCAAGACGATACAGAAATAATGAATCCTTATAGGAATGTGTGTATCTTTAAACACCTGTGGTATAATACGGGTAAATAATTGGAAACTTTATTTAATCAGATGATTTAAATCTAGTTTTGCAGTGCCATACTTGTCGGTTCACTTATGCACTTTCCTGCTATAAATTATATTAGGCATGTATGGTTTATGCTACATATTGTAAATTAGTTGATATTTCTTACCTGTCAGTGATGCCACATGTGCCCAACAACAACTCAGCATAGCGCCCCCACTGTCGTTGCAGAATAATATCGATATCAAGCTGTTCATTGTCTATGAAGATATGCTGCATGCAACCATGGAAGCGGTTCAGCTTGGTCTCACACTTCCTTATTGTGTTATTGGTTTTCGGACAACCTGAGTGCAGGAAAGTAAATGTATTAATTGAACCGTACACTTCTAAGTTGATTTCAGGAGTTGTCAATTGTTTTAAGTCATCGCTTCACCTCCAAAAAAGTAGCGGTCTCCTGTCCGAATTGTAAAAGGGTTGGTGATCTTTAGGGGAGAGCCTTCCTCCTCATCAATTGTGAGGGTCAGCAGGCTGTCTCTGGCTGCCAAATCCACTGTATGCCAGTAACCATCATTTAGCCTGTATCCTAGAGAGTGGAGTAATGCATGTCATGCAATGCTTCTACAATCAGATTCAGGAGAGAGATCCTATGCACAACATTCACAGAACTGACTCCCCAAACAGGATTGTCCAATCAATATATATAGCTTAGCAATTGAACAAGATGGCAGGTCTTCTCAAGCTTTGTATTTCCACCATAGACTGAATAAAACATTTCCACACATACTAAAACAGTGTGCATGGGACTATAATAATAACTATACTCTGCAGTTATACTGGGTATCTAAAGAGTTTGGAGGTTGGTGTCTTTTTTTCAAACATGAGCTGCAAATGTTGGCTAAGCATGTCTGGCTAACAAGTTTACCCTCATTCTTTTAGCATGATATCATGTATGTATGAAGTAAATGTTTAGGATATTTTTACAGGATTATCAAATTATTATTATTTAACATTAAAGTCAGCTGAAGACAGAGTATTTAGCCCCTTCACAGAGGTTTAGCATTAACATTATTTTAACAAGGTAGCTACAGCTGATAAAATCTGTTAGCAACAGTAACTAACTGTCAGCATTAATCACTGTATGTTCCAAAATCTTTAAATGTTATTTGTATCTGACATGGCCAAAAATTGCATGAGCTCACCTGCAGCAAACTGGAGTTTCTTCTTGCCAGGCTGGAATATAGTGACGTTGATCTGTCCCTCGCTTAGCCCCAGCTCAAGGGCACCCAGGTCATCCGCAAATCGCGTGAACATTAGCAACCCTGTGTAGTCCCATGACCGAAACTTGAACTTGACAAACATACGAGGCCTCCTGAAGAAGCCCGGTACCTGCAGATAGTTGTTGGGCCCAGCAAAAGTCATTGGTTTGAGCAGAATGTCCCTGCAAGCAAAATGCATCTTTTTCTGAGGGGAAGAAAGAGAAATCACACCATCATCATTTACAGTGAAAACATTTCCACTGATTCTTATTGTATTGTAAATATACAACAGAATAAGTAATTTGCAAAGCCCTACCTTTCGTGGGATGCGGATGTCAGATTCTTCTCTCTGTGTCTTGTCAATGATGTTGATGCCATTGATGAAGACGTTCTCCAGGCAGCCCCGGAAATTTGGTGTGGTTGGCAAGTGAGGCAAATTTTGCTCTATAACACCTCCTACGTATAACTAGGAGAAAGATATTAAGGTACTTAGTCATCGTCATTAACTAGAAAATTTATTCAAATTGTAAATATATGCAAAAAGTCTTTGGCACTCAAATTAGCTCATTACCTGGCTTGTAATGAATATTTGAATAAAATAGTTTGCAAGTTAGTTATAATTAGAGTGCATTTGGAGTTACCATCCAAAGGAGCACTTATTAAATGTATTCAGCATACATATCGTTGATCATTTTGTTTACTTACCTTCAGTTTGCATATTACACTGTAACTACACAGTAGATATGACCAGTTTATGAGGTACCTGTGTATCAAGATCCAGGTGTGTAAACTCTCCGTTACAGATGGCTGACACTGTCTGACTGTCCACTGTGAAGTTCACCTGTCGACCATAGCGCTTGATGGTGACATAGTGCCAGTGTAGATTATCAAGAAGGCTGCCAGCAGTCAGTGTAGTTCGACCATTAACTTTGTGTATTACACTGCTTCCTGAAAAACAGAGGGAATAAGTAACAATAAAAAACAATGCTCAAATCAATTCTATGTAAAGTAAAACTGAGAGAAAATGCTGCATTTTTCACATTACAGGAACTGTAGGTCAACAGTCTGACCAGCAATATTGTGATTTCCCCACTAGACAACAGGGCTTTCTGTCAGGAGAGAGACATGCCTGCTTCTTTCTGAGATGGATGTCATTGTCACATATATCAATAGTTTCTTTACCCAATCTCCCTACATCAAGATCCCTTCCATAAATTTCAACTTCATGGTGAGCATGTCTGTATAATAAAGGATGTCCAAAAAAATTTAACTTTCTTTATCCAACAAATGACTCAGGCTATACCTAGGCTGATGTGCAGGTAAAGACGACCTCTCTTGAGCTCAAGGGTGAAGAGGTCTCCTTGAATCCCCTCACTATGTAATAGTAGACCATCCTGCTCCAGAGTCTTGAAGTTTATGGCAATATGGTCTTGTAGTGTACGAGACCTTTTTCCTGGGTACATGTAGACCACTGAGTCATCCCCGTTGTACTGTAGCACATAGGAATCTGCAGACGAAATTTCAAAATGAATCCACAAATTCAAAAATCACTAAAGAGGATTTAGATTTAAGATATTGCTCAAATTGAATGTGCATACTAGGTTATACAAAGTCGTATTTAGCATTTATTGAGGTTTTAAGGATTATGCGAATAAATGCTTCATGGCACATTTCCTGGAGCTCTTCAGATGTGTTGACATTTAGCTAGTGATGTTGCTGAGTATGAATCAGGTGATAGTGAGCTTAGTTATTTATTAACTATGAACATATTGTAGCATATATAGCACTTAATGGATTTAGTGGCATATACTGAAATATAATTAAGTACTGGGATTGTAGAAAGTCCCTGGATGGGAATCAGAGGCAGTAAATCCCTGTGTAGCGTCCATCAGTCATTTTTACCATAAGGGCAGCCAAATAGCTCCAGCCTCACACCGATCTTCCCTCCATTCTCTGTGTTCCACTCCAGAGGCAGCAGACGAATGTGTTTAGCAGTAAAGGCGTAATGGAAAACATTCCTCTTCACCTGATAATAATTCCAGTTCCCAGGCAGTGTCTGCAAACAGATGAGATTTGGAAATAGGAGAGAAATTATTGAGACAGTGCAATGGTGTTAACGCCTTATTAAGAGACTGGAGATGAATTGATGATGAGATTAGCTTTGTCAGTGTTGAGAGAGATAATATGCTGTGCTGTGCTGTGTTTCGGGCCAGTGACAATAAATATAATGGAACACCCACTGACTGGAAAATAGGCTGTAAAGATTAATTTTGACTATTTAGTCCTCGTCTCATGCCTGTCTTTATCCCACCTAACTATCCTGGCTCGTTGACACCTACAGAGTTTCCTCCTTTCATGATGTACGGCGTCCAGGAGTCTGGCCTATCTCCATAGAGCAGGGTGTACTTTGAGACCCAGTCATATGAGTTGAAGGTCCCCTGGGTGGCAATGGCCACCAGTCGATACTTCCTGCGCAGGTCTATCTGCAGCCATGGCTGTCTGTCCCTGGGGGATGGGGACCAGCCGCTGCTGCCTGAGGAAGAAAAAAGGATTTGATTGGGGATTAAATCATGAACTTGTAACTGATGGCAGTAATTTTAAAAGTCTGTGAAATTTGGGATGGGGAAATCTAATGAGCAGGTAAAGCTCAGTTACTGTTTTGTCTGGGATTGGACAAGCACTTTTGCTGATTACCCAATACAGTTCTAATTTATTTAGCTAATTGTAGCCAGTTACTTATACTGTAGGCCTATATCTGTTAGCTAACTAACTAGTTACATTACATTTAGTCATTTTATCCAAAGCGACTTACAATTGCTATATATGTCAGAGCTCGCACGCCTCTGGAGCAACTAGGGGTTAAGTGTCTAAGGGACACATTGGTGTCACAGTGGACTTGAACTCAGGTCTCTCACACCAAAGGCATGTGTCTTATCCACCGCACCATCACCACCTCTCTAGAACTAGATTAGATTGCATTACATTCAATTTAATTGTAGGCATTGGGATAGGGATCCCTAATGGCATACAGATGCTGCAAGTAAGTTAAATCTTTTTGCCATGGGAATTGCCCTTTGGGCATTTTGACTTGTAAAACACTGGTGTAACTAATTACATTAATGTGCCTGCATCCCTAAATAGACCAGAATCAGTATTAATGTTATTCGTTACACTTGTATTTTTCCTGCTTGTTAAAACATCTGCCATTATAAGGTCTGAGAGGTGAATGGAGTGAAATCATGGATGAACTCAACACCACAACAAGGAACTTACCATATAATTTGGCAAAATTGGCAGAGTAAAGAAAGTTATATCTGGACGAGGCCAGGAAGGAGGAGGCATAGAGCCCGGAGACCAGCGGATCAACACATTCTCCTGCAGTGATAATAAGGAAGACACCAAGACTAGGAGTTATTAAAAAGGACTTCTCATAATGCAGCACTCACACATTGCTTTCAAAATGATACTGGCCAACAAAGACTGGCACAACTGCCCAGCTTGATAAGAAATGGCCATTTGGAGTTTAATTAGAGGCTAGAGCATGCTTCATGAGGCATAAAATACAGATTTGGACTAATCAATCAAATTAAATTCAAAGCAAAGCACAAACATACTGAGCCTTTCTGCTGGTAAAGGTATACAGATAGTGAGGTCACAGATTTATATTCCACAGTAAACCACATTGCCTCCTTATAAGGCGATGGACCAAGACTCATTAACTGTCCTGACATCTTCATTTCTTTACAGGTGGGGGCTAACAGTAAAATATGAGACCAACAGCTACTGATTATTCACACTATTTATATAAACTATTATAAATGTCATGCAGTTACATAATGCCCCCTTCCTATTTCAAGAGTACAAAATGGATCTGGTCTTGTGTTGTTCAGTGATGCAGAGACGGAATAAAAATGGTCGTGGGTGTGTGTACATGTCTGTCAGTGTCTGCCTATCTGTATACTTCTGTTTAATTTCTTGAAAAAGTACGTGCAGTTGCATGGACAGGAAAGTCAAAGTCAAACTAAATTGCTGCTGTTTCCTGTTGAGTTGCTATTCTATACTGTATGTGTCTATGGGACTGATAGGACCATCGCCCATCTGCTCAGGCTCGTTCTTCAGCCAACGGATATTAAAACTGACCATAATTCTACCTTATCTTGCTGTGTCACTGCTGAGGATAAATGTGCGATGCCCTCACCTCGAGCTGCAAGAGAAACACTGTCTCATTTTAAGTGCCTAAGTATGCTCTTTAATACTCCCAAGAGATTTAATATAGATAGGCTAAAATATAGATGGGTTTTATTTGAATATGATGGTAGGCAAGTACAAAAAAATGTGAATGTGTTAATCTTAGTGTGTACAGGAGCAACTAAAATTGCAATAAAGTAAATGAAATCAGCTCCAATGTGACCCTCTTACTCCTCCCTCATAATCCTCTCTAAACATTTTTAGTTGTTTACTGGTAAACAACTAAAAATGTTGGCATTGGGATAGGGATCCCTAAGCATGGATGGAAACAGGAGAAGTTAGCAGAATTAGTATGTAGGCTGCAGATGGAGCAAGATGAGCATGGGTGCTGCATATACTAAAATTTTAAATAACTCAAGGAGCAGAAGACTGAGTAATCACAGCAAATCCAGCAGAAATTAGGAGAGAGATTTCATCCACTGCCACACTACCTTAAATGACACATGAAACACACAACGTGAGCCATTCACAGCACAGATACACCATTATCTGCCTCACCTGGTAAGAATGAGTCAGTCACTTGAGCATGAGTTCTGTCACCTTTCGTTCAAGGACACATTGCACATTCTGGTGGAGAAAACATGAGCAAGGGAATTGTGACCTTGACTTTCCACCTCTATCTGAGAGGCTAAGAGGCTTTTTCAAAATCTTCATCATCTGCTATGTTGCACAGATCTCTGCATCACTCCATTACTGCAATGTAGAGTCATTTCAAGTGATCCACTGCTCAAATGGCTATTCAAACAAAAATATTTAAAAGCTCTGTGCTGCAGTTACACAGACAAAGCTCATTTGCTGCTAATGGCCTAATGTATATTGATTTGTTTTAACTCCTCAATTAGTAGTAAAAGAAAAGAAATTTGACTTTAAATGTGGAGCAGCTCCTTCCCAGAATACAGCAGGTTAACCCAGGCCACTCAGCTTCTCCTTATAGCAAGACTGTCACGCACTCTACACCCCCACCCATTCAGCGTCTCGCTTCCTTTCCCACACTCTGAGTCCTCTCTCTTTATCTCCATCCCAACTCCGAAAATCATCCACTCTTTCTTGCTCTCACTGTGTCCCATTACCTCATATGCTCGCTAATCTTCATCTTGCTATTTTTCACTTCTCTCTCTCTCACTGCCTCTCTCTCCCCAAGTGGGCGTTGTCATGTTGCAGTAGCTAAAGTATACCTTACGACTGTGTGGAGCATCCAGTTACCAGGTTTTCACCCCTGTCCTTGTGATCCTGAATCCCCCCTCCCTTCTCTACACCACACAGAGTAGGCTCTTTCTCCATTTATCATTACGAGGGTTGTGAGGAAAAATGTGCTGTGTAGAGCTGTAGCACCACTCTTGCTGAATCATCAGTCTGCTGTAAGTGTATGCTGGTCTGTCTGGGCTGACACATCATTACTGCTGGTTAAATACAGTATGCAGAGAGGCACCTCCTCTGGCTGTCGCTGGCACAAGATGCCCGGAAGCTGAGGATTCAGACAGCAACCCTGTATCTGAGCTGAATGCAGATGTCCACCAGTGTTATATCAAAACTACTGCAACAGAACAGTAAGGTATTTAAAATATAGCCTGTTCTGTTAAAGGGATTTGATAAATCATTCATACCCAAGCAGACATCACAGTGGGTGGTGTCTGACTGCTGCCGGGGATAAAATCACATACTATGCAGCACATCAGAATCAAATTCAGACTTAAATTCAAATTCAAAACTGCTTCATTTTCTGTCTAAACAAAACAGCCATATCTCTAGATATCAATTCCCATCACAAGGACCAAGAATCAGTCTCCTGCTGCTTGGGCTGCTAACCATGACAGAATACACAAAGCACACATTTGAGATTTATGCGTATGATTCATCCCCTCCTAATTCAAGCACACACACATACGTTACAAGGTGAGTCTCAGCTCTACCACAGGCTGGCTAAATGTGCTCTTCCACACAGCAGATATACAACTGGCCTGGCCTGCAATAAAGTATCAACAGGATCTACAGTACTACAGGCCCCCAATCATTGGTTGGCGATCCAATGAGGTTCCATCCAAATACTGTTCTTTTCATTCTCTTTTTAATTGTTTTAAGTTTACAGCAAGATAGCAGTATAATTTGACCAAACCTCTAGTAGGCTAGTCAACAGCAGCATGGCATCATTTGCAAACAATCAAAGCACTTAATGTATGTTCAAATATTGACTGACAGAAATGCTATTTTCCTAACAGAAAGAGCTCAGAAACGTGTACAACATCTATGTAAAGTGGATCCACTTACATTAACAATGTTAATGGTTAAACTTTTGTTCCCCAAAATACAAGACAGGTATTCTGAAGTATATCCTTAAACAATCAGTTGTATGCTGCTGATCCTGAGAGATAAATTGCCAGTAGGCCAGTAACTAACTCCTTAATTTCATATCCCCATCTATCTAGAAGTCACATGACAAACCATCGCTCTTCCTTGATCCCCCACTGATCATCAAGACTAATGTGTTATGTAATGCACTGTATGGGGTTAATTAGCAGTCAAGACCCGCTGATGTCATCCTGACACTGACATCACCCATAAAGCTCATTTGCATACGAGCTCTGTGATAGATGGGTGGATGGCATCTTTTCCCCAAACACGATTTTAGCACCAAACACAGCCCCACCTCAATCCAACTTAACCCACCACATGACTGCTTCATTGATGTTGCAGTGAGTAGCTAATAATTCCCCTGCCAGGTGAATCCACGCTCATCGACTGCAGGATGCAGGGCTGTATGGGCAGGTGATGGGAACACAGGCTTCTCAAAAAAGTACTGCAGTGGGTTGGTCCCGGTCAGGAGGCTGAGCCCTGCTCTTTCAACCGCCACTTTGAAAATGTGTTCAGCGGATTTTCAGGAACAACATCCACTGTCAAAGCAGTTTGGAAATGATTATAGGAACCAAAAAATCGACTCTCAAGCAACATTGTGCAAAGAAGTCGCGAGTTGAACCCACACGGTGCAGAAACTTGCGTGCTGGTTGGGAGAAAGCACTGCAATGCAGACAGTTCTGTGCAATGGGGATCGCCGCGCGCACCTTCTGCAGGACCGACGCGGTTAGCTTTTACACTTTTTTTGTGTGATCCCACAAAACCATGCTTTACTGAAATTACAAAAGCCAAGACAAGCAGTGAAATTTAATGATCTGTGTTTTAAGGCTGTCTGTTTTTATCGCAACGTGTGTTGCCCTTCAAAGATCCCAACACCTCAGGCTACATTTTGCCCTCCAGTGGTATTTTTCACTTCTTACCGAATACGATCGTGCAACTTTTTCTTAAGCATATGATCAGACGCTGAACACAATGCAGAAAAGGCATGTATATACACTTTGAAATATTTTCATAATATTCTAGCAGCCGACAATAGATGAATAATTGCTGTTTCACAAGACTTACGTGAGGAGCAATGTTGAAAACCCAAAAATAAGAGGCATATGCTCAGTATTTTGCAAGTCATCCTTCACTTAGGACACGTTTCTCCGCATAGGCTATGTTAATTTGATCGTAGATTGTTCTGCAGCATCCTCTCAACCCCCTTTAGCCCAACTTTAACACGCACAGCTCCAACTCCTCTTCCCGGGATCTCGGGCAGTCTCCACCGCGGCGGGGACGCGCTTCTGATGCTGGTGCTGATGCTGCGCTTGGCCGAGAGCGCGCACTTCTTCTTTTATATCCTTTAAACTGCTATTGTTATTAACATGGCCGTCGTGTAATGGTGTGGATCTTGCATGATATCATTCAACATAAACTTATAGTAACATGTGCTTAAATAGCAGAGCTGATTGGCCAGGTGGGAGAAGGCTTCTGTTGCGTTCCTCCTGCAGGAGTCTGGATGCAGAACAGACTGGAAGGGAGGAAAATAACTTTTTCAGTCCACTGCAGATTGACAGTATTTTTCCAAAACCAAATATTAATATGTCTTCAATCTCCAAATACGTCTTGTGGTAATGGTCAAAAACAACACTTTTCCCTCCGGGCTGTGGATCATAATACCAAGATTTATTCCTCTTCTCTTTTGCCCTGGCATCTCATATCATCCTTTGGCACACTTTTCATGGCTGCCAACTGGCCAAGAGTGCACTGCGCTAGTGAGGAGATGGTTGAGAAGTCTTTCTCTCCAGGAACTTGAACACCAAAATAGGGTGGAAGTCCTTAATATCCTTATCAGAAGCAGAACCACAGATAATGACAATCATAGCTGACCACCAGGGTGAACGGCTGGTTGTCTTTCTGTCCAGGTACTCAGTTCATGCCAGTGCATTCACAAATACAGCCAGACCAGAACAGGTTACAGGATGATGATGCCAGCTGTGCCTTTACTCAGACTCATCTCTGCACACACACACACAGGGTGGTGGGGGCGGGGTGGGACTGAGGGAGAGAGGGATTTGTGGCAATTGGTGGCACATTGACCACAAAATAAAAAGGCTTTGGGATTAAAAAGTGGGTTTATGGGACGGCAGTGTGTCAGTGATGAAGTGAGATTGAATGCCTGGGCCAGCGTGGGATTTACTGTGTTTTCAATCAAATCAGATTGACAGTTTGTAAGCTCCCTGCCTCTGTTTTTGCTAAGAGTATAGAATTATATCTGCAGAGAAAAGACAATGGCAAATGGCATGGGAGAATAAAATAGGACATCAAATCAGCAGGGGAACTGGCTGCAGATGTGGCCTAGGCACTGCAGAGTTATCTATTAACTGACAAGAGACAGGTACAAAAATGATTTGGTGAGGCAATTTATCTCAATCACAGTGGAAATCAACATATTCTTCAACTGTTCTGGATATTTAAGAGAGTTATTCTTATTGATGGTATATAGTAATCCATAATATTTCACAGATATACTGGTTACCAGGTGCAATGGCATTTATAACTGTATAATTATCCTACAATATTGCCATGCCACCAGGCTTCAACACATTACAGCTTGTATGGAATTTATCATCTGCCAGTTTGACCTATTAAAGGTAAAACAGCAATGTTTTCCTCTGACAACTGCTGTTCTGTTGTCTTCAGATAACATCTATAGTACACACAAACACATGCACACCATCTCTCCCGCTCTCTTTCCCTCTCTCACGTCTGCACCTAGCTTATAGATATGAGGTTTTGTGGTTAGGTTGGATTGCCATCTGTTTCCCCATTGACCTTTTACATTTGACCTTATAGTAATCATAGAGACTGGTTCAGAACAGACGTAATAGGGTGGGGGTTGAACTATTAATTTGGAAAACATAACAGCAAAGGACCAAGTGATAAACAGATTGACAAGAGCAACCAGACGCAGACTTTCCAGCACATACACTTCAGACTTTCCAACACCCAATCTCACACACAAAGTTATGGTAATTGTGGCACCAAGTTTGCTGTAAATATATCAAATCAGGCCTATAATCCCTTAATTTTTCTTACATGAATAGTTCTACCAATGTGGTGAAATAATTCCTCCAATTCACAATAAAGGCTGACTTGTTTCAAGGTAAGACAAAAATTAAATGTCTTTAATTAAATATCTTAAAATAAGGCAGAACTCTATATTCCACTTCAGGTAATATAAAGTACTTATTGCAATTGAAATATCATTGAAATGTCAGCTCACTGGCATATTCACATTTTTAAGATTGAGTCAATACCGGATTAAATAGCTTTTTTAGACTGATGTTTAGACTGTGCCTTTACTGAGAGAGACAGGACAGTGGACTGCATTTGGAAATGGGGTAGAGAGAGGGGATGACACACAGTGAAGGGCCACAGGGTGGACTCGAATCCCAGACCGCTGCAATAAGGTTTCAGTCTTGTACACGTGGCACATGCTCTACCAAGTGAGCTAACTGCTTATGGAGGATAACTGCTCCTGTAGACTGACAAGTTCACTTGATTAAGAGTTAGGTTTAGCATTAATCATCAGAGGAATAAACGTTTGTTGGACAACGTGACACATCCCTCTTTCATCCATGTGCATTTGAATTGAATTTGCATTTTGCAGATACAGCAGCAGAGTCAAACCGCAACTAACCACTAGATGTCAGATAAAGCTCAGACTTGGATTTCTGTTTCTCACACATGATGTTAGATTGGACGATTTGACTCATAAACTGTTGTCCAACTCTCTCCCACAATCTCTTCATCACTTAACATTATTCTACAGATTTTAAATTGTGTTTCATGTTGCCAACACGCATTAAACCTGCAAATAAATTATAAATGAATGAGCAAAGGATCTTTGGGTTAATAAAATGAGTCAAAATATGCCAGATCGTTTGCAGGCAGTTATTCAGAAAATCTGAAATTATGCACATACATCTTCTTTCATGTTTTTTTGTTCTTTTTGTGCCACTTTAAACTAACTGAAACACAAAAACAAACATGCCATAAAAGGACAGTCTCTCTCTGTCTTTCTCTAAATTCTTTTAAAAACACACACATGCGCAAACAAATTCACAGGTGGAGACCCATGATGTCTGTGTTTCTCACAGGGATTTTTTGGGATCAGATTGGACTTTGGTCTGCCCCCATTAGCATTCTGTGTATTTTCCATGGGGGTGCCAGTGTGCACTGCATAGGACACGTGCCGGCTTAAAGGCACAAGTACGAAGACACACAAACACTCGCAGACATTCTCACACACAGACCTACACGTCAAACACACTCCTACTCACAAACAGGGGTCAAGTCTTCACTCCTAGATGTTTCCAAGAGATAGTGTTGCTGATCTGTTATCATGGCTGAGTACTACTTGTCATGAAGATGGATGGAGGTTTTGTGTGATGAGCACTGGCTTGATTTCTGGGCATCTGATATGTCCAACAACAAACAATGGAGGATAATGCTGATGTTGGCTGGTTTGAAAATGTGAATGTGAGTCGGAAACTGCGGAATTCAGCAAGATTGCCGTCTAGGTGGACTCTCGTGACGTGTTTATTTTGCCCACCACCTATGGGAACCTGATGTCCCTGCATACTGGCGGCTGAGCTACTGTAAACAGGGTTATTAAAACAGCCTGCTCTCAGGTGCCCATGCACCAGTATGACCTCCTGCTGGTGTGAGCCAATCCCAGCTGCATATTAAGCCTAGCAGGGGATGCACAGACTTGGATCCCACCTCTGAAGCTCTACCCCCAGTGTTAGCTCAACTGGTGTGCCTAGACAGCTGCTACAACCTGTTCGACCACTCACACTTCTGAGTGGACACACCAACAAACTCATTTTAGGACATAGGCCGGGGGTGAAGGTGATGTTACAAAACCAAGTAATGCTGGCTTCTGCTGAGGATCTTATCTTAAAGGAACAGTTGAATATTTTGGGAAATACACTAGCTTAGCATAAAGGGTGGAAATGGGGAAACCGCTCAGTCCAAAGGTATCGTAATTGCCAACCGGCACTCCTGAAGCTCAATAATTAACAAGATCTGGTTTGTTTAAAGTGTAAAAATGATAAACCCACCATATTATTGAGGGTTATGTGACTTAAATGTCTCTGCACATGTAAATACTGTTTCATCTTGTGTCAGGCACAGACTTGGCACGTCGCACATATTTGTTGTTTGTTGATTGTTGATCTTTGTTGTTGTATATTTTTATGTTGTCAGTTTAAATATTTATATGTACACAATATTCTCTTCTGTTGCGTTGCAGACCCAGAATAATGCACTTGTATATATCTGTAATGTTGTTCTTCAATTCCATATTTCTATATTTCTACATTTATTTATGTTGACTGTATGTTTGTCTACGTGTAGCACCTTATCACCACAGCAAATTCATCGTATGTGTAAAACACTACTTGGCAATAAAGCTCCTTCTTATCCTGATTCTTCTGATTCTGATTAGGGTCTCTTGTTTATTGTAGGGATTTAACAAATAAGATGTAACGTGTTAAGTAGTGAGCTTTAGAGGTGCTAGTAGGTGGCTTTGGTTACCTTTGGACAGAGTCATGCTAGATATTTCCCTTGTTTCCAGTCTTTGTGCTAAGCTAAGCTAACCTTCTGTTGGCTGTAGCTTCATATTTACCGTACAGCTACGAATATATCTATGTTTAACAACCACATATCTTGAGAAATTAGGCCATGATTTTATCTCCTTCATTTAGATTGTTGCGCTTTATTCAGGCCTCACGCGTCGCCTGCCACCCCAACATTTTAGATATTGTATGGTTAATCCCCTCTGAACCCTAGCACATGTGAGATACTCAAACATACAGTCCATAGAATGTACAATCACTTCTTAACACTCTTCTGTTCCCTTTTGATGTTTTTAACTCTGTTGTACCTTGTTTTTGTTGTTTTAATTTTAGTGTTTAAACGTTTTCCCCATCTTGTGATCTTATTATTTTAGCAAATGTATTGTCTCTCTCTGTTTTAGCCATTTGTTCCTTTGTAAAGCACTAACTTTGTTTTGATGTCCATTGTAAAGCCTTGTTAATGTAAATAAAACATAAACGATGTAGCACTAAGAGATTAATGTACATTTGGTTTCTCCTCCGTCCATTTTGAAAGGTTATTGGTTTGTGTCTGCCTGCTCAGTACAACAGAAGAGAAGCTTGTGTGTTGACACCTATTGCTGTCACCGACCCATCTTTACACACATAGAGACTTTTACGCGCTTACATACATTTTCAAAATTGATTTATTCACAGAGGAGACATAGGCGATATACATACGATGACAGCTCCCCAAAGACAACAGTCCTGATACCTGCATTAAGTGTAAATACCAACAACAGCTGCAGCCTGGTAGAGATGTGTGGAGCTAAGACACTTTTGTTTCTCATGTTTGCTGTCAACACGAGCACACAAACAGAAGTTCATACAGACACAGATGCAGTGACACAGCCAGTGACTTTCAGAGACCACTGGGTTGTGTTTTCCTCACACAGCAGACAAGCCGCAGTTATTTAGTCTGCCTCCCAGTTTGTTTGCCCACTGTCTTCTCTCTTTTGTTGCTCTGCCTCTGGCTTTGTTTGATGTGAACTGCTGACTGTAGCAAATGACAGTTGCAGCTGGGAGGATGATGAGTGAGGATGAAAAGGGTCATGCTAAATGACAAATTATGAAGGTGGTCAGGTTGGATTAACAGCAATGTTTCTGTGTTTGTGTTCAAGTGACAACCGAATGGTTCTCTTCACATTCAGTTACAAGAGGAAAATGGGAACTAATCCAAACTAACTTGGTTTTCTCGCTTTTGCAAGCAGGTCTAAAGCAATTATTAGTTCTGCTGCCCTGTTTTTTACAGTCTACTGGGCTGTGCACACACACAAATACACACTGAGACATGCAAACTGTATCCTTCCTCTCCCCAGCTGAGTTCCTTAGAGCTGAACTCCATTAAAGTACCTTTGGCAGCGAGGCTACATAACGGTTTGTCGTCTCAATGCTGGGGCCCACTCCACTCACAGCCTGCAGGTGGGGTGGGGGTTGGGGCATGTGGAGGGCAGCGATCAGAGCAGCTAATGGAAGGGAGGC